TTTTACTCCAGGACCTTAACCAAGCTTCACAATCATTCATTGCTGTGTACAATATTAAAAACTGTTCGTTTAAAACTGTTTAAAACTTATACTGTATATGTATATAATGTCTCTTGTCTGGTGAAAAAAATTTCCCTGGAAACCGCTCCCTCCCCCAATGAACATTAATTCTTATGGGGAAATTGGATTCGCTTAACATCATTTCGCATAAAGTCGCATTTTTCAGGAACATAACTACAACGTTAAGTGAGGATTACTGTACTAAATTTTTGAAACTATAGCATCATGTTTTTATCAGTGACCAATTGCTGCAAAAGAGTTGTTCGTTTTCCAACATGCTTTATAAAGGTGTGATTCATTTAAAATATGCAATCAGAGTGAAATTACATCTTTCCTGCCTCCCCTCCCTCCCAAACCTCATCCTCATACACAAACACACGTCCTTAAAATTCTCCTTCAGGAAGGAAAATTAGCAAAAGGTACAAGTTAATGACCAAGTTTTAGTTTTGAGGAGTACTGCATCTCCTTTCTCCTCCCCTTGACCACATTTATATCATGAATGTAAACTTGGTTTTATATGCCATAATCTCCTTATAAGAGCACCTAATATAATTTTTTTAATCTGGAGGATATGGTATTTGAGAATATTCATAGCAAATTATATAGGCCAACCTTTAAAAAAAAAAACCTAACAAAACCCTACGCCTCAAGATAGATGCCAGCATCTGGACCTGCAAGCCTAAGGGCTGGTCCACACTAACCCCCCAGTTCGAACTAAGATACGCAACTTCAGCTACGTGAATAACGTAGCTGAAGTCGAAGTATCTTAGTTCGAACTACAAGGTACTTACCGCGGGTCCACACGCGGCAGGCAGGCTCCCCTGTCGACTCCGCGTACTCCTCTCGTGGAGCAGGAGTACCGGTGTCGACGGCGAGCACTTCCGGGATCGATTTATCGCGTCTAGACAAGACGCGATAAATTGATCCCAGAAAATCGATTGCTTACCGCCGAACCTGGAGGTAAGTATAGTCGTACCCTAAGTAAGTGGCCTGGCTTTCCAAAGTGTTGAGAGCGCAGAAGTTCCGAAGCTGCCTAACTTCAGACACATTTTTTTAAATCCTGGTCTCTGACTCCTCTTTTTAGATACGAAAAAAAATATTCCATTTAACATTAACTGTAATCACTTTATATAATGAAGAGGAAGAAAGCAAATTATTATACTCTCAAACATGAAAGTCAGAATTTTTGCAATTTTGTATTTTAAGTAACTGAAAAAAGTCAGTCTTAAAGTGACAATGTCAAGGTTTGTAGGTCCAAAATCTGACTCTCCCCACCCAATTTATATATTTTACAATAATAAGCAGATAAGGATAAAATCCAACTACAGTTCTAAGGAAAAGTCATGCATTTCAGCTATGGTGTAATAAGACGTTTCTCTCTACTGTGATGTAAGCATGAAATATGACAGTCAAGTTTCTAATTTTTATAGAACTTTAAACAACAAAACAGTAGTTCTCATACTAAAGCCAACTTTATGATTAGTTGAGTTACACAGTACCTTCGGGAGCCCTTATATTATATTTTGTCGATGGGAGCTATAAAAACAAAATAATTCCAATCGGGCTGTTTGGAACAGTAAAATCCAAGGCTAGAGGGGAAAACTGTTAATACATAAAACCATCTGCAAGATCCAAAGTAGTTAACAGAATGTGTATTTCAAATTAATTCCTATAAATGCATATTTTGTAAAGATAAGCTATAAGTTTTCTGTGGCTTTACTTTTAGTAACTGTTTTAAATAAAGAACTACACCTCTACCTCGATATAACGCTGTCCTCGGGAGCCAAAAAATCTTACCGCATTATAGATGAAACCGCGTTATATCGAACTTGCTTTGATCCACCGGAGTGCACAGCCCCGCCCCCCCCCGGAGCGCTGCTTTACCATGTTATATCCGATTTCGTGTTATATCAGGTTGCGTTATATCGGGGTAGAGGTGTATATTGATTCATATATATCAAATATTTAGTAGTACAAACATCTAAAACATTACAAAAAAAGTAAATACCACAATCGTAACTTCTCCCAGTTTGCAACAAGCTTTCATTAAAATTTCAGGAGTTCATATTCAAGGTAACATTGTTCAGGAAGCATACGTCCCTCTGACAGGGGAAAACTTCCAAAATCCTTTGAGGAGGCAGATATCTAGTCACCTTTTTTTCTGTCAACGTAAATCTTCCAATACTCAGATTTATTAAACACTGAGAACATAAAAAGCTTAATAAATAAATTGGTTCCATCATGAGCTTTTAATCTTAGATGAACCTACACTACAGCTATGGAAATGGGAATAGCTGGAACAGAAAGTAAGCTCTTCACCAATCTCTCCACCAAAAGATTCACCTTGCATCAGAAGCATTGCAATGAGAACTTTCACACATTAAGAAAACAAAAATAGGCTTGTTTAGTCTGGAGAAAAGTTACTTTAAAAACTTTAAGTATGATCATTAAAAAAATATGTAGATTTTTCAATGCCCTTCAACTCTTACTGTATTCTTCTCTCACAGGCTGCATCAAATTTCTCAAAATTAAATAAAAACAACAAAACAAAAAAATCTGAAGAAAAACTAATCATTGGCCATCAAAATATACAAGAAAAACCAAATTATACTTCAGATTTAGCTCTTCAGCAGTTTTCTTCATTTTTGCAAATATATAGATGATATTTTAGTACTGATGCTGTGTAATCTGAGTCTCGTTCCTTTGATCTGCCTTGCTAGTGTTCTTTTAATATTTTTTTTTAAATTTCATTCACACAGAGCATGTAAAAATCACAATTCACATCCTGCCCTCCCTCCCTCCATGACCTATTTCTTCTACGGAAAAAGCTATGACTAAAGCAGTGTCTCTACACTGGCAACTTCATATACAAAATTCACGACTGATGCAGCTCCAATGGTAGCAATGATGAAAACTAGGGATCCTGTTTTGGTGTCCAGTTCCATCAACCTTTTTTCTCAAGCCTGTGTCTTTTTTTGCTTGTGGCAGACGCTGTACATTTCATATGGTTAAAATGGTCATGGAGGGTCTCTACACTTTTGGATATCTCAGCAATGTTCTGAGGTGGTATGAAGAGATTATTTCCTATACAGGTCCTGAAGTCCAAGGCCTAGTCTTCACTTACCGGCTAGTCCGGCGGCACACCATCGATGTTCTGGGATCGATTTATCGCGTCTGGAAGTGCTCACAGTCGGCGCCGGTACTCCAGCTCGCCGAGAGGCGTACGCGGCATCGACGGGGGGAGACTTCCTGCCGCGTCTGGACCGCGGTAAGTTCGGACTAAGGTACTTCGAATTCAGCTACGTTATTAACGTAGCTGAATTTGCGTACCTTAGTCCGATTTGGGGACTTAGTGGGGACCAGGCCCAAGTCAGCATTGCTTTGACTTTGGAAGCTGATGCAGCACCAATCATCTTGAAAGGAAGTTAGTTTTTCCTTGGGCCACCCTTGAGAGGCCACAATGTATTAAATGGATTACTAAAAATTCCAAATCTAATAACTTAGCCCATCTTCTGTTGGTGACAGAGACAAGCTTTCCAGCTTACATAGTGCTCTTTTTAAGGTATTATCTCACCCAACATTGCATGAAATGAATAAGGGTAAGTCACGCCATTTAGATGGATGATCCATTTGTGAGCAAAGCTGTTCATTTTTCCTCCACCCAGGCGATCCAATTGTCCATTATGTGTAGTTAAAACACACACACACATACATACACACACCTCTACCCTGATATAACGCTGTGCTCGGGAGCCAAAAAATCTTACAGTGTTATAGGTGAAACCGCATTATATCAAACTTACTTTGATCCGCTGGAGTGCGCAGCCCCACCCCCACCCAGAGCACTGCTTCACCGCATTATATCCAAATTCATGTTATATCAGGTCGTGTTATATCGGGGTAGAGGTGTATATATTTATTTCTGTTAATAATTTGAGACCTCAACACTTGAATTCTTTGTATTAAAAGGCATTTCAGGTCACCTTTAATAAAATATTTAACCTCTCTCTCTCTCCATTTTTCCTGTTACTCTCTAAAAAAAGCATATTACCAAAGACAAACATAAGAGTAAAAAAAAGACTACAATATTAGTAACAATATTTTCTTGTTAAAAATCTCTGGTTATTCTTCAAATATATCGATTACCTCAAGAAAAATGATGCTAAGTTTACTTCTAAAATCTGCAATAACACCATACCAACTGAGTTCTGGTCTCTCAGTATCAGAACCCATTAATATAGATGTGCAGAACCTTACATAATTCACTTAGCTAATATTCTTTGAACTCCATTATACATATTGGTTTTCCCAAGTAAACACATGAAAAACATGTAAATAATTTTGTAAAGTAATAATTCATTTAATGCTTTTAAGTGTTAAAAAAATAAAAAGTATGCAAAATATCCTAAATGTATTTTGAATTTAAGGAAACCTATCATTTTCCTCTATGAAAGGAAATCTAAGAAATATGATGAAATAAAAGGAAATTCTTAGGTTTTACAGGAAAGAATATACTAACCTCATCAGATATTTGCTGGGCAAGACGTATTGCTACATTTCGTAGCATGCACTCTGAAGTTGGATTGGGAATGTTCTGTAGGGCAGCTTGCAGCACCACTGCCTGGTCATGGGTAGCCTGGTTTATCTGGAATAAGTTATTTTCATTATTTACATGAAAAAAAAAAGTACAGAAAACCCTAAAGTATGAAACTAGAAATTATCTGGTAGGTGTGGGGAGAGGAGACAAGTGGACGAAGAAACTTATATTGTATTTAAATACAATATACATGCAAAAAAACCCACTCTTGTTATTTCAAATACTAACCAACATTTCAATATACACACATTCATGTATTTGATATTTTGCTATTAAAATTGGTATTCCACACACAAGTTTTGGATAAAGTCTAAATAGCTTCTTAAAAAACATTACAAAAATGGGAAAATATAACTGTAAAACTATAAACATACTGGTAGGGAGAATCATAAGTAGGTATAGAATACCTGAAACTACTTTTAATTCTTTTTTTTTTTTTGACATTTGAATAAAATTTTAAACAGACAGTTAGGGGGACATCCAACCCCAATCTTTTGAGACAGGAAAGGAACAGGTTTATGGGATGTCAATGGACTGTAAATAGCTGGTGCCCTTAATGGTGTCATTCTTCAAGCTAGATGTTGCTCCCCAGAAAGTGCCCAGAAAAGTACACCTTAATTAATTTTCTTTTAAAAATATAAATTCACTGTTTGGACATTATTAAAAATGATGTAAAACTTGAGTCAGAAGTACAAGAGAATTGTCTTTAGTAGTTCTCTGAATTCCCTTTACTGTTTTCCAATTCCTGGGTCCATGCTTTTAACATGTGACTTAGGAAAAACTTCCTCAGAAGTTTTTGATCCTCTTAGGTTTTAGTAGACGTTCTTCACAAACACATTCCAGTTGACAGGATGTGGTGTACACTCTCCAATGCCCCAAAGTAAGTTTGTTTCTGCATAAGAATTTAACAGTCAAAAAACAAAAATAAACATTCCACAGAATGGTAAAAAAACAAACAGATGTAGCTTCTCAACCTTTGAGGTGTGGTTGGTGCAAAAGTGAGAATCTATTCAGACATAATCAAGGAACAAGCATTACAAGCACATAATTTTCTCTTCTAGATTTCTGCTAAGGTTGGAAAACTTGAGTGGTATTTCTAAAAGAAAAATGTTATAAAAACAGCAGCACCTAGAAGCAGTGTCTATAGTGAACAATAACATACGTAAACATGAATAAGAAAATTTGGGGGGAGGGGAGAGGAGAGGAAGTTTTATCTAGACAGAGAACTCTCCAGAAGAAACCCAATTACATCAATAGTGAAAATTAAGGCAAAAGTATTCAAAAAGGTGGGCATCCCAAACACAAAATTATAAAAGATAAGTCTGGGCACCCCTCATATGGAGGTAGGAAAAGTAACACAGAAAACCTGGATTCTTCTCTTGATACTAAATCTAACAATGATTTGTAAAATACATGGAGAAAACACAGTGTGACACAGAGTTTTGCAAACTCCTGTAGAAAGAGACAGAGAAAACTGCACTGGAGACTGCCTTGTGACCACTAAGTTCTTGTATGGTACAAGGAAACTGCTGTGGTCATGAGACTCCCTCTATTTTATGGTCCCTGCTGGCTCTGGCAAATCCTTTCCACTACATTTACAGCATCCTGGATCATGTCCTGGAACATGAAGATATTGACTACTACACACTATAAGTGGCACGGACTGATCCTTGGATCCCTTCCAATGTGGTGTTTCTGATCAGCTAAGAGTCTGGTGTTGAGGAGACTAGCAGGTCTGCATGTCTCAGGAATAGTTGCGGAACCGTCAGCTTCGGTACAGAGGTCAGCATCGCTGGCGGCACGGGAGTAAGAGTTGTAGCCACCAGTGCTGAGGGTTTTGAGCTGTGCGGCATAGGTACTGCAGGTGGCACCATTGCACCGCTTGGTGCAGAGGTTCCTTTTCAGCTCAATGGGTACCGAGGTGAAGGGTTTCACTTTGCTTTGTAAGCCTCCATTCGAGCGAGCCCGCATATGGTCTTTCACTTTCTGGGAACTCTCGGTACCAGAAGATCCTGGTGCCTCATGGTCCGACATGCTCAGTGCTGTCGGTACTGAGGTACATTTTGTGGTCGAGGATCACTTTTTCTTGGGTGATTCACGGTGCGGAAAAGTCTGGCACCACTTTTCGGTAGCCATCTTCAGTAAGGGCTCTTTCATAGGCTCTGCAGGGGCAGGACCTCTGTCAGAGGCTGCGGATGGTGACCATTGGCCTGGAGGTGTCCTGGACTTAGGGTCTGAAGTCGGTCTGAGGGATTTCTCCATCATAAGGAGTTTAAGTTGGAGATACCTAGCTTTTCTTGCTCTGGCTGTGAGGTTCTAGCAATGTGGAGACTTTTGAGCAATGTGAGTTTTGCCGAGACAGTGGACACACTGTGCATGTCCGTCAGAGACCGGAATTGACAGTTGGCAAGTTAGACAGCGTTTGAAGTCCGATGATATGGGCATGCAGGAGAAAGTTTGCCACAAAACAAAAAACAAACAAAACAAAAGGAGGAAAATAAACCTACAGGAGTCTAACTTCTCAGGAGCCTACTGAGGAGAATAAAGGTAAATAAAGGGAAATATTTGTCTGAAGTAAAATAAAAACTATAAAGGGGAAGTACCTAACTACTGCTTATACTACCAACTATAAACTATAGATAAGATTAGCCTTTACAAAGCTAAGAGAGGGCGATGCTGATCATTCCAACTGAAGCCAAATGCGGCAGAGAAGGAACTGAGGGGCAGTTGGTCACGCAGTGCTGTGTAACTGCGTGGAGCGGTGAGAGACAGTGACAGCGCATGCACTACACAACCAGGCACTGCTACCACAAATCTCCTATTACAGCGCAGGGAACCAGGACACCTTAAATGGAGCACCCACAGGGACACTCCTCGAAGAACACAGTGTTCTGAAGGGTACGATGACTCTTTGTTAAGTGAAGTATCATCGAACCAAGATGACACAATGATACGCCCTCAGAAGGATCAAGAGGAAGCAGCTTCAGAGTAAGTAAGGAAGTGGTGCTGTTACAGCTATCCATCTCCAGACCTGTACCTAAGCAAACAGTACCACACAAACTCAGTGCCCGATGTGGGGACGCTGATGTTTTATACGTTGAGGTTGAAAGATCTGAAACACTTACAGCCTCTAATGGCGGCCAGAAAAGAGTTCAGGTACTTCTTTCTTAATCTGAATGCCATTTTAGCACAGAGAGCCTCTCTTCTCCCAGGCACAGATTATGGTTATCTGTCAGATATAGTATGATCATACTTCATACATTTAAAACTAATGAGTTGTTTGTCCCAGACAAGTATAGGGAAGACTCCCCTCAAACTCCCACAAAGAATAGCTGGCAGAGTCAAGCAAAGAGAAACATTAAAAAATTCCTCAAAAGAACTGTTCCATATCAAGAGACAGAGCCTTGAAACACTACTGATACTGTGTGTTGGCAAGCTGAAGCTTCAAAATGTGTAGGGTGCTCTGCACTAAAGCAGTACAGAGTGCCAGAGACCCAAAGACAAATGGCACAGTGCCAAAGGACTGAAGTCCCCTCACGCCCCAGTGTTAAACGCCAAAAGTGAAGAGCCTGATAAAGATATCGCCCAAGCCCAAAAAAACAAAAACAAACCCCCCCCCATGTTTCCAATACGTTACTTAAAGTATCCCCAGTGAATGCATGAAAAACACATGATTTACTTTAAAAAGAACTTCAAAGACTAAGGGGAAAGAACGATTACTTACCTTACAATAATTGTGGTTCTTTGAAACCACATGGATTTCACTTTTGGTGTGCATGCGCCCCAGGAATGGGAGATCAGATTTTTCTCGCCAGCAGCATCTGTTGGGGCAGCACCTACACCTAACATCATAAAGGGAAGAGTGGGCCAACCACCTCTCTGTTCCTTTACCAACACTAAATCCCAGAGGAGTAAGGCTACATAGAAGCAGGGAAGGAGGATGGGTCATAGAATCCATGTGGACAATGCATTTTGAAGAACAGTTACTGTAAACATTCTTTCTTAAAGTAATTGTCCATTTGGATTACACTGTTGGTGCATGTAAGTGTCGGTAAAGTAACAGCATCAGCATCCGCCTCTCATGAGCGCTCGTCTCTGGCTGATATGTGCCTGCAATCACTCAGGTTTTTTCCACGGGGCAGCACCCACCTCTCACAGGGACTCCCTTACTGGTCAGAGGTGAGCCTGCTTTTCTTTCAGTTCTTACAACAGGTGGCACCCCACCTCTTGCAAGCGTCCCCCGGCTGATGGTTATTCGACAAGTCTTCAGCAACTCAGCCCTCCCGCCGAGTCTCACACACTGTCCCCCTCTTCTGAGGAATACAGTCTCTAGTTCTTTCTCACGGTCCTGGTATGGGGCCGTAGCACCAAGGATTCCCCCCGAGAGACACTGCCTTCTTTAACAGACCAACACAGACCCATCTTAGTACCTTCAGTTGGTGTCCTTTTGGCAGCCCTTGCCTGGGCTCATCTTCAACCCAATTAGGAGGGCCCACCACAGTACCGTTGCCTGGTCTGACTAAGTTCTGGGCTCAGTCCCTTGGGATCAGCCTGCCTGCACTGACCTGTCATCCAAGGTCCTGCTGCTCTTCCAGCCAGCCAGGAACCCAGTCTTCCCTCTTCGAGATCCAGGCAGCAACTGACTGTTCTGCCTCTGCTGCTCCCCTTTTATAGGGCCCTTCTGGTCCCTCATTGTCTGCTCCAGCAGCCCTCCTGGTTGCTTCTCTGCCTAGAGAACTTCTCCTCTGCTCTTTTCTGGGGCAGGGGTAGGCACAGCCGCGTGGCTTCCAGCAGGGGACCTCTGGACCTAGTCTACCCCGTTGCAGTGCACAACAAGCAGATATAAATTTGCTTGGAGATTGGAATAAGAGTCCTACTTAAACAATGACAATCACACCAAAGCAGGCATCTATCAGGAAGCCACTGTCAAAGAACGTGTCTTGTAAAGGTGTTTATCAAGCTCCACATAGCTGCCCTACAGATTTCAGAAATAGGAAAATTCTTCAAACAAGCAGCAAAGGCTGCCTGAGCTCTACTACAACTAGATAGATCTAACCTAATAACACGTCCTTATACAGTTGAAGACTAAGATAAGTTCAGAGAGGATACTGCCTGACACACATCTCTCTGCAAAGGCCATAAAGTTTAGGTATGTTCCTGAAAGGTTTTGTCCTATAAATGTAAGAAAACAGGGCCCTAACTACATCAACTGTGTGACGTTTAGCTTCCCCTGTGGGGGAGTGAGGCTTGGAGAAAAACTGGGATATGAATAAACTGGTTCACACAAAATTCTTAAAAATAGGAATTTGGAAGGAATCCTGAGAGTAACTCTGTCTTAAAACATTATGCTCCTGCATTCATAGATAAGGTCAAAAGGAATCACTGTATTCTTCTAGCCTGAACTCCTGTATAACACAGGACATAAAACTGCCCCAGAATACTTCCTGTTTGAACTACAGCATATATTTATTTTAGAAAAACATCTAATCTGGATTCAAAAATTGTCAGTGGTAGAGAATCCACCACAACCCTTAGTAAGTTGATCCAATGGTTAATAACTCTCATTGTTAAAAATTGGCACCTTATTTCCAGTCTAAATTTGTTTAGTTTCAACTTCCAGCCAGTGGATCCTGTTATACCTTTGTCTGCTAGACTGAAAAACGCATCATCAAATACACCTCTACCCCAATATAACGCTGTCCTCGGGAGCCAAAAAAAAATCTTACAGCGTTATAGGTGAAACCGTGTTATACCGAACTTGCTTTGATCTGCCTCCCCGGGAGCGCTGCTTTACTGCGTTATATCTGAATTCGTGTTACATCGGGTCGCGTTATATAGGGGTAGAGGTGTATTTGTTCTCCATTCTCATTGATCTTTTCTGAACACTCTCCCAATTAACATCCTTCTTGAACTGTGGACACCAGAACCAGATACAGCATTCCAGCAGTGGTGACACCAGTGACAAATTCAGATGTAATGATGCTAGCTCCGAATAAGATATGACCTCTGTTTGCAAAACCATATCAGGTAGAACAGGTAGCGTGACTGAAGGATGAGTTGATGGATCTGGTGAACCTAAGTACCAGAATTGTCTGGGCTAAGCTGTGGCTACCAGGCTCAGAGTATGAACCTAGGTCTCAAAGCCCAAGCTTCAGTCCAAACTGTAACTTCAAAGCACTGTTTATACAGCTAATTTTAGAGCATCAGTGTCACCCCCACTGACTCAAGTCTGTTGACTTGGGCTGGGAGACTCTCTCCTGCTCAGTCCAAAATGCTGTGTAGACATACCCTTACAGTCCACTCGTGTCTGTCTGAGAATTATCTGCTGTCTCAATTTGCCAGGGCATTTTGCAAGCCTGGAAGATGCAGAACCACTGGAAGATGGTATGATTTGATGACAAATGCTCCACCCCAGACACAAATCGCTTTTTTGCAGAACAGAGGTGATTATGCTCCTCCCTATCTTGACATAATGCATGGTTGTGGTGTTGTCCATTATCACTTGGATAACAAGAGTAGAAACGCTGTGCATGAAGATGTATGGCTCTGAGCTTCAAGACATAATGTGAAGTTGAGCTTCCTGAGGTGACCCAATGCCCTTGGGTTTGAAAGTGACAAAGATGAGCTCCTCATCATGCAGCGCATCACCAATGTCTTAGTAGGCAGTGAAGCAGCAAAAAGTACTTCACACGTGAAGTGGGTGCCTCCACCAACCTAACGGGAGGACTGGAACGGACCTCCAGGATCACTGAGCCTTATCTCCTGCTACTGCAGGCAACGCAATCATATAATCCCAGCCATAGAGACAAGGATCCTTGTTCTAGACATATCCCCATATATATATATTTTAGTTATATTAACTACTATTAACCAGCTTAACAAGACATCAAAATGTGCAGTGTAAGCAGAGACTGGGGTTCAATCCTGATGTCAGGGTGGTAAGAAGGAACTGAGGGGTGATAAGCCCACCGTGCCCTTTATGACCTCGGGTAGGGTGCCCAGATGTCCCGTTTTTAAAGAGAGTCCTGTTTTTGGGGACTTTTTCTTATATAGGCGCCTATTGCCCCCCCACCCCCGTCCTGTTTTTTCACAGTTCCTATCTGGTTACCCTAGGTGCATGAAGGACATCAGGGTGCAGGCACAGCCCCATCGGGCACATCTTGCCAGAAGAATCTGATCTTGCATGCAAAGGATGCATATGCACCAAGAGTGGAATTCATGCGGAGAGTCATTTGAACTCAAATACACATAAATGAAGGATCACAGCAGCAAATACCTACTGAGACAAGCTGGAACAGTATTGGAAGTGCTGTTCTTGCAAGAATTCTGTTACTTTCCAGAGTCAGAAAGGAACTGAACTTGCAACAATGGAGGTGCTAGGAATTGGTGAGGCACAACCTTTTACTATCACAGATATTTAAAAATGAGTATTATGAGTTCCTTATGAATCATACAGTTGAAAAATACATCCAAGACAGAAAAATAAGTAAAAGTGGTGTTATAGGAAGGCAGCTTTGTAGATCTGAATGCAAATTACTGCATATTAGTATTTCTATAAAAGACTTTTTTTGGGGGGAGGGGGGAGTTAAAAAAAGTCAAAGTACTTTACCGGTGAGATTGGACTTGTGCCCTCTACAACTGGCTGACAAGCTTCTGCCACAGCTCGAACATGGCCAAAGCCAATTGCCGTTAGCAACAATTTGGCTATTTTTAGAGCATTAAGGTAGGCTCCCCTTCGAGTTTCCATATCTGCATTTGGCAGGAAATTATTTCTAGTCAACATGCTCAATACAAGAGGCAAACCTCCACTTTTTAAGAAGTTATATTGGAAGTCACTGGCATCTTCTCCCAGAGGTGCACTGGCAGGCATTAACAAGGCATAGACTACCTGCAAGAAGGAAATAAAACACGTTAGCAAACACACACGATACAATACTTTTTTTGTGTGTGTTTGTTTAGAAAAAGTGTAAGCACACAGAAGTACATTTTATACATATTTTCCCCCATGCACACCTCCCACACTTTACTGCTTTGACAGACATTTTGAATCTTTTTAGTTTTACACCAGAATTTGATCCTGTTCTTCAACTCCACCATAGAAAATGTAACCTTAATGCCAAAAAGAATTTTAAATTATAAAAGTTTGGGTTTTTATTTTTAATTTATTTTTAAAGAAAAACATTACAAACCTCTGTTAGATATAGCACTTGTGAGGCAGAAGGGCCAAAGAAAAGAGAGTCAAGGGATGGACTAAGGCTGCTTTCACCAAGTTTTGCATGATCTAAGCAAATAGCTCTTAGTTTCTCTACTGTAGTGTTATCTGCAATAAAAACACAACCTCTAAACATTACTGCCATAGTTACCTAAAAACACGTCACTGAAATCTACAATTAATAATTAATACCCATCAACTTGAGAAACTTCAAAGGACATCAGATAAGAAAAGATGCAGGAATTGTAACTGACATACAAATTCAGAGTCTTCAGAGGTACAGTGTTATATTTATTACCGACAGCACTTAAACTCCTCCTATACAGTAGTAAGTGTTGCAAAATAGTTTCAATTTTAACACTTTTCCCCATTTTCAAAGATAAACAGGCATTGACATCTAAAAAACGCTTTTTAAAATATTTAACTTTATATTATGGACAAGATATAGCAATACAGTAAATAAATGAATATACTCTCACGACTACCACACTCTAAATTAGGAGGAGGAAGGACTTCAGGAAGGATTCCATTTCCAGAAAACGGGTGAGACATAACCTCAAGAGATTAAAATTATATTCTGACCTGGTGGCATAAGTTTCATAAGGACACGTGCTCCATCTCTAAGAGGTGGCATATTTAGGCTGCTGCCTAAGTCTGCAACTTGCCAAAGAAACGAGATGTATCTAGGATGCAGTGACATGATCTAAAACAAAATAAAAACTTGTCATGCTATTTCAGCAACTGAAACAATTTGTGCTAATATTTGTCTGTCATTTTTTAACTTCATAAGATTTTTGGACCAATACATATACTTACCACTCCAGGCAAACAGCTTTCAACTTCTGGGTTTGGACCATCACTGTAGTGATTGCCATGGTTGCCCGGAGAACCAGTTGAAGAGTCAGAAGAACTATCAGGGCTTGAAGGCATATTAGAACTTATTTGTGTAAGCTTGGCTGTAATTAGCTAAAAAATAAATTTGTAGAAGATTAATATATTTTAATAAGTATTAGATATGAAAACTATCAACTTTAGAGCTTCTTATACTAAATGAGCTATTAATACAATATTTCACTAAGTTAGAATGGATCATTTCAAATAAAGTATGCAGTATTGCAGTAATAGTGTTTGTCCCAGGGTATTAGAGAGACAATATGTGTTGTGTCTTCTGTTGGTGAGAGAGACAAGCTTTCAAGCTTACACAGAGCTATTCTTCAGGTCTTGTCACAGCTAAAAATACGTGGAACACATTGTTTAGCATAAGTAGCAACACATTTCAAGGGACCACTCAAGGTGAAGTGGCCCATTAATACCTCTCCAGTCATTGGTGTGCGAGAAGCTGGGGAGCTTTGGGGGAAACAGTGGGTTATAGATTGTTGTAATAATCCATAATTACATTATGGCTTACAAGAATAATTATAATTGTAATAAGTCTTAATTCTTGAGTACTTTTCCTAGATCTGAAGAAGAGTTCTGTGGAAGCTCAAAAACTTGTCTCTCTTAACAACAGAAGTTGGTCCAATTAAGGATATTACTTAACTCTCACATTTCTAATAATGATATTCCTGCTCTCATTTCCCCCCCAATAATTATAGAAGTGGAGTAATATTAACTAATTGACTAAAGTAATAGCACTCACCGTTTTATCTTTAAGATTTAATTGTCCAATTAACTTCCTATCATCTGCAGGATCTACCAGCTCACCACCAATAAACAATTCTACTTTTGTATGTGCACTGTTGGCTTTAATACGATTCAGAATACAACGCCGTACAGAACCAATTGTGTCATTTGTGTGAGACCAAATATCCAAGTCTTCTACCTGCCGACCTTGGTTTGGAAAACGAACCACCAGTGTGATATGCTTACCACGAAAAGCTCTGCAAAACAAATGGAGAGCACATGCTAACTAAAGTCATTGTTGCAGGCATAAATCAAGTACAACAAAACTGGTTATTTTTCATGCAGTCATTTGTACTGCAACTATTACAGAATGATTTTCTGTAAGCCTGTTGGAATGTGCAAGCATACGACTATTTTGCGCATGCATTGTTGCATGTAAATTGAATATTTGTACAGCCACAAGTCAGAGTGAAAAGTGCACACCCACAAACTTACTGAACAATCAGTTCTACACTTGTGTTCTGAACACACAGAATTTCAAGTAAACCTAAAGTAATTACATAGTTCAAATTTTGGTTCTCTCTTCACTATTTGCAATTCTCTGTTCAAATCTTGGAAATAAAATTTCAGTCCTACTAGCTTATTCTATCAAGTTTAGCACTTATATTTTATTGTTTCTGCAG